CAAATTGCAAAAATAATCAAATCATCCCCCAAGTTATTCCCCACAGAATTAAAACGTGAACGAAATATTTTTTATTTAGGACAATGAATCTTCCTTTACAATAAAAGTCTGGTCTCATGTATCTCGTCAACAATTTTATTTTTATGGAATAAAATTCGTAGATTTATTCCGGGAGCAGTCAATGTAATGAAATTTTAGCGAATTATTTCTTATAAAGGTAAATTTGTTATGAGGAACACAATACATATTTTTAAAGTTACTTAAGAAAAGGAAAAATTGAATTACTCTCAGGTTCATTCACTTCAAATTCCAAAAAGAAAAAACATTTAGAGTTAATATTTTCAACAAAAAACACAATATTTTTATAGTTACGAAATTGTCAATTTAACATTTCCAGTTGAAAGAAATAAACTTATGTAACGTAAAAATTAAACTTATAGCTGAAAGAAATATTAAATATGCTATAAATTATGCATATGAAAGAGTTTGAACCTTCTCTTAATTCCAAAAAGAATAAATTTAGTATTCTTACTATAATGTTCCAGGACAAAGAATTTCATCCCCGTATCTACCCAAGAAAAAATGTATGTTTGTCGAAAGTACAAGTCATTTTAGTTTATTGCTAGTTCTAGTACTTCGCGAATCTAGGGACATTATTATTTTTATTATTATTAACCTCCCATGTATGCAGTGTTTTGTGTTATATTCTCTCTTAAATAAATAATGGATCCGATTTTTATTGCTACAAAATGATTTAAGAGCATGAATACATGATGCATCAATTGTCTTTAATTACACAGCTCCACAAAAACAAGTTGATTGGACTATGGGCACATCCACAATTTCCACAATCTCTTATTCCAGAGCATGCAAGATCAGCTAGGGCATATAGACTTGTGTTACAAAGTTAACAAGATTTTTTGTTTTCTGCACTGAACAAGCACCACGCATAAAAAAAAATGGGCTGAGCCATTGATCAGTATTTTGACATACTAAATTCGAAATTAAAGTTATAATTCAATCAGTTCGTGTGGTTTGATCCTAACATCAAGAAACTCTTCTAGAATGTGGTTTTCGATATTTCAAACCAATTTCATTCGATATTACAAACTGATTTGAGGAAAAACATGGAATTCATAACCCCATAACCTCATATACCCGTAACCCAAAAACCCCGTAACTTGTTATTTTAACGATTTTGATAGCAAAAACAGACGTCACTAATTGTATAGCCATTAAATTTTTTTAGTGTGAATGCAAAGAAAGAACCTTGAAAAGATGACTTGTAACACAAATCTGTGTGTTCTAGATCATGGATCCACAGGAGTTTGCACACCCCTCGTACCTCGTACACTACATTATGGTGCAGCCAGATCATCAGTTCGAATGTTTTCCCAATCATTGACTACTCAAGTCAAGTTTTATTTAGGTATACTATTAATAATAATCAACCATTTAATGATAAAAAATAAAAAAGTTAGGTTGTGAATAATGAAAGGCAAAGAAATTTAAAAAGTTGTATAAAAAAGTAATTTTGGGAAGTTGTACTGTAAAAAAGTGAATTTTTCCTAGGTGGTAATCTTATAAACTTTATATTGAGAAAACAGGACATAACTTAACCGTGAGAATAAAATTTTTCAAACGGTTTTATAAGATTTTGTTTCAACAACGTAAAAATGCAGTAATCCCGACAAAACAATTATTAAGCCTTTCAATTCGAAGAATATAAGTATTATGTAAAAAATGCGACATTTTCTCGTAAAAAGGAAATGTAGGGGATATACAATAATGGATTCGTTCGGGTATAACTGTGAAATCTGATTAATTATTTTTATTTTGTCCTTATTCTCTGAGGCGAAAAATCACTTACACTCCTATTATTAATTACAAATAATACAAGTGATCTTTCTGCTATTTCATCTTTTGCTGTTTTCATGTCAATACAAATTCAAATTTTAAGAAAAAAGCTCAAATAGTTTTTTTTCTGTCCCGTCTACGAATTTATAAATCTGAGAAAATGATAAATGGTTTCCGACATTTAGATCTTTTGTTTTGCAAATCTACAGGGTGTTTTTTAAATATGCTGTAACTCCAGTAAGTTGTTCTTTGGGTTATTTAAAAAAAAACGTAAATATGGTCTAAAGCCAATAGTTTTCGAGACACCGGGAGTTAAGTTTAAAAAAATGTCACATTATCAAATATCTTTCGCTTGAACAACTTCTTTGGATCTGTTTTAATGATGTGTACAACAAAAATTATTCAAAAGCAAAATCCTCAATCAACGATTATAGTAAAATTAATTAAAAATCTATTTAATTTTTTGTTTAATCATCTGACATTACTTGAAAAATACAGTTAGCAACATTTAGTGAAAGTATTTGCCTGTAATTGATAACAAATGAAATTACTTAAATCAAACTTTACACATATTTAGAAATGTTTTTACTTGTATAAAACGTGTATAATTTTTTTTCCTAAAATTATCGCCTGATGAAATCATATTGTCTGTAATTATTTATTTGTGGAATTCTCAGTTACTTATTTTATTTAATTGAGTATTTGTGTCGCGCCGAAAAGGAAAAAGTTATGAAAATAATAAGGAATCAGCCAGTTGATTTTATAAATTTAATTTTAAAAACTTTTTTGAGATCTTTTTGGTTAAGCAAAACTGTATTTATTATAAACAAATGATCCTATTAGCGCAAAGGGTTATTTATTAAAGTAAGTTATTATCATTGCGACAGAAATGCCCATTTAAATAAAAATATATATAAAATCGTATTATGCTCCTCGACACCAACATCTAGGTATGCTAAAAAACAAAAAAGCACCGCCCAGCCTTGAATTACACCCACAATATTCAGCAAATATGTTTCTCTTCCAAATTAATTAATAAGTATTAAATAAAGTAGGTAAATATAAGCTAAATATTGTTAATAAATAAATATACTTGACGTAGCTACTGAAATAATTAAGTAATATAAATCAAAGAAATTATCTCCTTTGTTGTTTCTACCATCACCTCTTTGACAAGGACAAATTCTCAAAATTTTAATTTGTTTTTCGTAATACTAAAAAATAATTACTTTATCTAACTTAAATTAACCATAATTAATTAATAATAATACTTAGATTTTTTTTTATTTTTTTTTTCACTATTAACTTTTGCTTTTTCAAATGCCTTTCTTTTTAAAATTAAATTTATCGATATTAAATTGTTTATAAAATACAAGATACAAAAACAATGAAATAAAAAAAATGGTGTAATATTTCAAAGACAAGGCAAATTTGATATTAACATCTAGATGCTCTGAACGTGTTTTATTCTTGTCTATTACAATAGATGAGAAGAGAAAGAGCTATATCTAGAGCATCTGGCTGTTAAAACAAAACAAAAAAAATAATATCATATATCTGTCAAATAGAACATAAACTGGCACATTTAACATAAGCGCACCTCTTTAGAAACAAAATCTATTTTTTTTTTACCCAAGGCGAAGTGATGTAGTTGTATTTCCCATGTTATATTCTTATCTTTTTCAGTGCCAAATTTTTAATGAAGCAAAAATAATTCAGTTAAACAGCAGTTTTTGTTCACGGGTGGTATAGAAACACGGAGAAAATCTATATAAACAGATATTTACAAAATTAAATAATCCAAAAGTGAATTAAAAATTGTTTATTTTTACAACTCAACTATCACACTGCGTAAGATAATTTTAAAAAATTATATTTTCAGTCATTTATCTGTAATGTGATTCAATATTTTACAGTGTCTATTAGTTTTTTTACTAAAAATAGTTTAAGTACATAATTTGATAGTTTCATCATGTGTAATAAATACAGCCATTAATTTATCTTTAATTAATCCAGTATAATAACAACGTGTCTGCAGTAGACATACAGTAATTCTAAAATTAAGGTTTACGTCTACTCATGTGAACTATTGTAATGAAACTGAAATTATTATATTACAGCTGTTATTAAAACAGCTAGTTTTATTAAAACTGAGAATTTTAAAAATACTGTCACAAATTTTAATATGTCCTAATAATGTAAACGTAAAATTTGTCAAATAAATATAAAATGGCTTTTTGTGCCATGTGAAAAAGGCCATAACTTAGTACTCCAGTCGAATTATAATTTGAACGTGAAAAAATTAGTTAGTAGACATTTTTTTGCACTTTATGACGGGGAAGGATATGTAGAATGATAATATCAAAAAAGTAACTCGAAAGAAGTATTAAATTATACATATATTAAATTTACGCGTTTTTTCATTTTTTTTTAACTGCCCACGAAAATCTAAACCAACTATGAGAATATTAGTTATTTTTTGTTGTAGGCAATTAAATTACCTACAATTTAAGGTATCTGTTTTAAGTCACCAATTTGTTAATTGGTCGAACGCGGAAAAATCAATTTTATGGAAAATACGGTAAATCCAAAGACCAACATGCGTGCCATGGCCGATTCGATTGACGTAGATATATAGGTTCTAATTGATCCAAAAAAAACGCATCGAAAAAGAAAATTAAGTAGCCGTTTACAACTAACAAAGTAGAACGTGCAAAACAGCGTTATAAACAAACTGTCCCATGGTCAGGCAAAAGCCGCTCGGAAATTCGCTTTTTGCATTAAATAGAGCTTATTTTTGCGATAATTTTTTAAAAAGAGGAATCATCTATGCCTCTTTTAGTGAAAAATGACTCTGGTACCTTAAATTGTAAGTAATTTAATTGCTTACAACATAAAATAACTAATATTCCTATAGGTTGTCTTTCGAGGACAGTAAAAAAAGTAAAAAAACTTGTAAATTTGCAATTTGCCAACTTAGCGTCACTTCTTTCGAGTTACTTTTTTTTATATTATCAATCTACATACCATTCCCCCTTAAAAAGTGCAACAAAATGTTTAATAATAATTTTTTCAAGTTTTATGATCTAATTCGACTGGAATATAGTAACATTATCATAGTTTCAAAATGGAATTATACCCACCTCTGTATCGTTCACCAGCAGCTCTAAGGAGTACCCAGGTAAAACATTAAGGGCATTAACATGATCAACAGCTAGTTTGGCCGCAGACATTTCACTTTCTCCTTCATACCTCCTTCCCCATTTCGTTGTCAGCTCGAACAAACCCAAAATATACACTACGCGACGCTCATCAATCACATTCCTAGCGCGACTTAAATTCATTCTTGAAATATCGTTTTCTAGAGTAAAATATCTTTGTGCAAGAGAAGTATTCGAATGTACGTAAGCCAAAAAGTCGTCTGTGTAGTTTGCAGAGAATGCATCGGAAGAAGGCATGTGTCTCTTTTTCAAAGTGATAAACGTGGCAAGGAGTGCAATGGACAAGAACAAGACGCAGAAGTGCTTTTGGAACGGATGTATCGGTCTCATTGTGACCACGAAGGTTGTGAAATAATAAAAGACTGAATGAACACGGCGGCTTCTGAGTACCTATTGAAGAGGGTACTTCAACATGCGCGACGGTGTGGAACCTCTTCCTCGACAATAGGCAACTCAGCTTTTCACATTTTACTTTGTAAGCATTATTCTCTTGGAGCTACTAATTATGTAGTTTTAAAAGGGCCCTAAGACATTTGTAACTCTCTGGTCGCATCTTTGTGCGAGTTTATATCGGGTGTCCCAGAATTCACGTAAGATTTAAAAGACAGTGTGACAGCCGGCAGTTCAGGTTTATTAAAAAATGGAACGCTACACGAAAAAACAACGCGTTTTTATTGTTGAGCAATATTTTTAAAATAATGAAGGTTTGGCAGATTTGATAGGAATAGTGATTTGACTTTATCAACTGTGAGGAGATTAATTGAAAAAATCAGGGAGACTGGATCAATTAGTGATCTTAAACACTCTGGCTGAGACTGCTGAGAGTCCAGGCACATCAATTCGGCACCGTGGTCAAGAATTGGACAATTCAAGAAGCTCTCTACAGCGTGTTCTCACGAAAGATTTGCATCTTCGTGCTTCCAAAGTTCAATTAACTCAAGAACTGAAGCCTACTGACCAAGCAGAGCGAAGAGAGTTCATCAAGACATACATTACATGCCATACAGACCGGAAAACAATTCAATTACTGCATGACTCATTTCCTCGTCGTCTAATTTCTCTTTTTCGTGATCAGAATTGGCCACCCAGATAATGCGATTTATAGTCGTTGGACTTTTGACTTTTCTCTGTGGAAATTTTTGAAGTTGAAGGTTTATATCTACAAGCCCAAGATCACCCACGCCTTGAAGGAGGAAATTGTGCGCTATATCAACAAAATTCAACCTCATGGCCATGGAAAATTTCTACAAAACAGTGCGTATGTGACAGTAAAACCGTGGAGGCCGTTTACCCGATATGCTATTCCATACATAACCCTATAGCGTAAACTCTATGAATCAATAAAAAATTTAAATGTAAATTTTTAATTAAAAACCTGTTTCCTATCAAAATTACTTCTTGTGTGAATTTTGGGACATTTTAGAATCATTAGGTTGTTCTAATTTCTTAGAAATAATATCGTTAGTTTTTGTTTATTGTAGGATAAATAATTTAAAATTTATATACCTAGTTTTTCTATGAAGCAGTCGGTATAGTATTACGCTGCTCCGTGATGAGGATTGTGTTGATTATTCTTATAACATAATATGATCACAGACAATATAGCTTGGCGATAGCTACTTTGTCTGTGATATGATGTCTGGAAAGTTTATAGTACAAGTATTGAGAATAAGTAAAAGTTTCTCTTTTAGTGTTAAATAGGAATTTGTCTGAAAGGGTTTAAATACAAACATTGTAAGGTGAGGTTCGAGTTTTATTAAATATAAAGTTGTATTAGTTTACATGGCAACGATGGAATAGCTTGGCCATTTTTGTCCCTAGTTAATTTTCTTTCGATACTGGTTCAAGTTCTTTTGACGATGTATGTTGTTATGGTAGCAACAGTAAGGAATATAGATTTGTTAGTTTAGGTTTTATAATCAAAAAACTAAAAAAAATACGTTTTTTGCATAAAAATGTTTATAAAAAATTAGTTAATGGTAAATTGGAGCAGGAAACAAATAAGCATATATCTACAGAATACTATCTTTTACATGATGGCACAGTCCGTTTGCTACTAGCATTTTTGTCACAAAATCACTGATTTAATGCTCTATTGATTGGCTGAAACTTTATTGTCTCTGTTTTCACTAAAATTTGTCAGCTACGCCATATTCAGATTTCATACTGGTGATTAACAATGCAGTAGATAATATTGGTCATTTGCAGATTTAACTGCTTAGATTCTTTTGATCTAGAGCTGATTTAACAAGTTGACTGCGACATAATCTCAATGTACTTTGTCCTTGACTGCGATACATATCTTCCGGGATATGTAACAAAACTTCTTCTGTGTGCGGTACATATCCCTGGGGATATATAATTTTTTTTACATTTGACCTCTATAAAATTAAAAATACAATTATTGCTATAAACGTGCATATGTCTGTAACTATATATCCTAGGATACTAACGTTTTCATTCGCAAAGAGTTTTGAAAAGAAAAAAATAGAAAAATAATTATTTCTAACTACAAAACTAAAAACTACAGATTCTGCAACTTTCACAAGATACAGTAAAAATGTGATTATTGAGATTCGCATATTTTTTATAATGAGTACATACCCCTGAGGTATGTACCGCAGTCAACGTGTTAACCTGTCACTTACTTGTTTAATTGGGTCAGATTTTTTATTTCCTTCTTCAACACAAGAAGCTTTTCCTTTTTCAATTAATGTGGATGCCACCATATCAGGAGAAGTTGTTCATTATTACAAGTTACAGCCATTACCAGTAGTTCATATTCGGTATTCCAACCATTCGACATTACAAAAGTAGCAAAATCATCATTAATTTCTAACAATTTGTAACTATATACATAATATCACTTATACAGGGTGATTTCACTTTAAGTGCAGAAACTGCAGGGCTGGATTCATTATCAAAAAATAAGTAGAGTTTGTTCTATAATTTTTTTCCTGCGAGACTCAGCATTCGAGATACAGGTGTTAAAGTTTACAAAAAAATATATTCATAAAGCGCTGACGGAATTGAATGAAATTTACTGCAGCGTATTTACTTAATTAGATCAGTAGCGTGCTACTGGAGGTAGGTGGTGGAAGAAACACTTTTCATTTATTTAACGTAACAGTACCTGAATTTAACATTATTTCTACCAAAAACCACCAGTGGCGTATTTTTTTCTTGGAAAAACAGAGCAACACCTTCAGTAGCACACCACTGGTTAATGCCACGAGGTTAATATTACATAAAAGGTCTAATTAAGTGAATACTCTGTAGTATATTGCATTCAAATCGTTCAGCGCATTATGAAAATATGACAGAAAAAATATATATAATATATATATATATTTGGAATAAGCTCTTGCAAATTTTTTCATGGTTCTTTAATATTTATTGATTGAAACCCATCAACATAACACGTAGATTTCACACTCAAATTTTAGCTAAAGTACAATCTTCTTCCTGTTCTTATCATCTGTAATTTGATCAATCTTTTACCATCCTGTACAATATCCCATAAACCTTCCAGCATTAAACTCATCTTTATAGCAAATTTTCACAGTGCATAATTTGCTTGCCAATCCAGCTTCTTATTATTGGGCCTTGATGCTGAGACAATCGAAAACGGTGAACTGGAACTGCTTTGAGTAGCCATAATTCTTCTTTGTGAGTCTAGATCAAGTATGTAGCGAACGAATATGTAACAAAAATAGATATTAGTAGAAATACTTGTTCAATATCCTCGTATTACTAGGCGGGCCCATGATATGTTGCTATTATAGTAATAGAGCAGTGGATTAACTTCTTTTAATTTTTTATTGAAACAAATATACATTTCACCGAATTTATTTTATTTCCTTCTCATAACAGTTACCATTTGTTATTTACAAATACTGTTTACAATTTTGAATCATAGCACAGAACATACCAATATAGAATAAAACAGAAGTTAGATTATAATAATACCAACAGTGTTTAACGAAAATGAAAACGTTCACAGGTGTGACATCTTTGTGTGACAAAAGTTCGATCCACGCGTATAGATGAACTTGTAAGAATTGTAGATGAAATAGTGCCACTGTGGCGAAATTAATTGAGAACGGGTTAAAAGATATGGCAAGACGTTGATGTGATACACAAGATGGCATAGAGAAAACCTTGATACACCAGTTCAAGAAACCATTGTCTTTTAAAAAATATTGAGGAAGCTCCATTTTTGAAGTGAAACAAGAACAAGACTTAACTTAGTACAGTTGCATTGAGTTGAATAAATTAAATGTGTTACAGATTAATATCTCCCAAGAATATTTAGTTGATGCCGATAAATAAATTATAATAAATGGTAAATAAAAGTATGAGCAAAGCCTACATGGCTGTTATATTAATTTCTTAATACTCTAATATATTTATGTTCCTTCAGGAAGCAATAATTGAATAAGTGAATCTAATCTCGGTACAAGTAAAAAATTGTTGTCTAAATATAAAAGACCATTTAAAATCAGAAAAATGTTTTTTAATAACTGTTTGTGTGTGTTTTAAGACTGTTTCCTGTGAAAAGGTAAAGCCACGCAATAGTGAAGAGTAAAGTGTAGATAAGTTCTTAGCAGTAACTAGAATAGTAGTTCTAAGTGAAAGGATAGCAGCCCGACAGCAGTACATTTGAGGATAGTACTTCAAAGATAGATAGGCTGTGGCCTAATATTTAACGAAAGTAGCTCAAACATAGATTGCGGCCTAATATTTGAGAATTGTAGCTCAACGACAGACTGTGGCCTAACATTTAAGGTTACGGTAAATAAAATCGCATGGAGCCTGTCTGACGAGTAAGGAGTGTGAGGAAGAACAGTAATCTGATTTTTGGCACAAAACTGTCAAATTGACAAAGCTGAATGTGCGGACGCATTGTCATGGTTGCCTCGCTACAACTCTGGTCTCTTTTTGCTGATTTTTTTTCACGTAACCGTTATAAAACGCATTTATAGTACACACGGTTCACCGTTTTACCTACAATTCCATTAAAGTCGAAAAAACAGTGGATCGAGACTGACGTGCTTTCTTGGGGCTAGGTGATCCTTTGCCAATCCATTGTAGTGATTGAACTTTTGTCTCAATGTCGTAGCCATAAACCCAATAAATTGCCGATTACCGTGTACACGATAATTTTTCTGTTGTTCATCATCAAACGAACAACAAATTTTGCTGCAACTCAATGCATTTTCAATTTTTCAGTAAAAATTTCATAGCATAACCCAATTGAGATGCTAACCTCTTCTGCAATTTCTCCAACAATCAATCGGCGATTTGCACGCGCTAGATCTTTGACATTC